ACTCCGACAATTCACACACCGTACCTTCTTGGATTTACACAGCTTGGTGCTGTGCCCCTCTCCACACTTTTCGCAGCAAACTNTGCTGCGGCAGAACTTCTCTAGGTGACCCAACTTCTGGCACTTCTGGCATCTTCGTACCTTTGGGATGTAAGGGTGGAGCTGGTACCTGGAATAAAGAAGGGGAAGAGGACCATTAGGTACTTTCCCGCTTGCAAATGTTAATTGGACAGTCCTAACGGACTTGCCCTCCCGAGGTTTGTAGAGGTATAAACCCTCTACAGCGTGATTGTGGAGCTTAAGATCCTCCAGCAATTCACCCTCTGAGTACTCGGAGGGGACGCCATAAATGACGACCCGTTCCGTCTTGTTGAAGGTGGACATGGCCGAGTCCACCTTCATCCCACACAGTGCGGTTTGGTTGGTAGCATAAACCGCATCTGCCAGGAACTCAAAGTTCAGCCGCACGTTGCCGTTGGCCAGGACTTTGACCTCCGGAAGAGAGCTATACTTCCACTCTTTCCGGATGAAGTCGCCGATGACCTTCGACTTCGTGCTGCCGAAAGTTTTGCCCCCGCTTGGCTTCACTATTACGATGTTGGAGAACTCCGGCCTTGCTACCCTGGGTTGCATGGTAGCAGCTGGCCGACTCGCAACATCGGCATAGCTAACCTTGGTGGATTGTTGGGAGGCCATTTTAGCTGAAATTGAAGGTTTGATTAGTGCAAATATAAAATATAAAATACAATACAATAAGACAGATAAGAGATAGCTATCAAGGATGCCTTGCAGACTGTGCAAAAATTGATAGTAAGAAAATGAAAAGAGAACAACGAAACAAAACGAAACCTAGTGAAAGCTTTGTAGGACAGCTTGAATTTCTTCCGCCAAAGAAATTGTCGGCCGCCCAAAGAAAAGATAAAAGAATAAAAAGGAACGAACTCACAAATTAGTGGCAGGTGTCAAAAGTTAATTGAGTTATACTTAATTAATACTTGACAGTAATCCGCTAATCCAATTTCACCAATCCAGACTAGAGAGAGAGCTAATTAGTTGTTCACAGTACGAGTGTCGAACTAATTATGTGTGGAAGAACTGTGAAAATATTTCCTAATTCAGTTAAAGAACTGAAGGGTAAATGCACAAACAAGAGTTATGTCCCTTCAACTCGTGATTCTTTACTTGTAAAGAAAATGAAACAAACATTTACCTTGTGAACTCAAAATTATAAACACCTTAACTTCTGTTCAAGAATCATTTCCTTACGACAAGGTCGTTGTTAAAAACGAAACTGATAAACCTATGTACATTAATCCACGTAAAATTCGTGCAATGGTGTGTGCACTTAATTTTGAGACAATTTAAAATTTAAAACAAGACACTATTAGCTTTCTACAACAATTCAGTACGCCTGCAGAACATTCTAGTTCTGATTACAAACCTAATAATGAATTTCGACCTAGATAATTTATAGAATTTGACTTTGGAGAATCACCTATTCCACCAGAAGACAGGGAAAGGGACAGGGAAAGAAATTAAATGAATTTTCTGATATTTTCAGTACTTTTGAGTTCGAATTAACAGATGCTATTGAACATTAGATTCCGTCAAGAGATTTTGAAGACTGTAAGAAAATAGCCATTTTCTTATCATTCGTTTTGTAGTGTGAAACAAAGTTCACACATATTTGTTCTCCACGGACCCTTCACATAACTCTGTTTACACCTGTTAATTGGCCATGGTATTGTATTCGAGTTCAAGTGCTTTGATGTCCGAACATTATTTGATCAGGTGACAGGTGGATGACCGCTGACCTGAAGCTCACCTAAAAACATGTATTGTGTCCCCAAATGACCACTCCTGTCCAGCCTACTTCAAGGGACTGAAAATAGGGTAATCCAAATAGCCATTACAATACCTATTAAAATATATTTAATTATGGTTCTGGGGTCTGTGGGAACAGTAAACAATATTAATATTTCTTATCATATTCTTTTATTCTATTATTATTTTGTATTGTATTTCTTTGTATGGGTTTGGCTATATTAGACGGTGACGAGAAGACTTTAGTCAGTACGTTCGAGGATACCGAGCTGCTCGTAGACGTCTGATATTGCCAACCGCCATACAGCTATATTAGATTGGAATAAACAAGTTTAAGTATCACAAGTACTTTACTTTATCGGAAACAACACAACGTGAAAACCTAGACGAAGTCTTACACTTGCCGAATTGGTGCCTTAAGACCAGGATTCTGAACGGGAATCAACGTAAATCGGAAAGGAAACAGCAACAGGAAGGACCTTTTACCATTAAGTAAGTAACCATTTTCTATTATCTTCAAAATGGGTGAAGAATTCTTTCAGACTTTATCGAATAAGTTGAGTACACTGACAGACACAATTTCTGCGCAGGGAGTAACCAATAACCAAGTTTAGAGATTGGGTTAAGTCCATAGAAAAATATGCTGTACTTGCTAAAATCGACACTTCAAAGATGAAGTTGATAGCATTTCAAACTTCTAAGGGAATAGTGTCAAACTTCATCCAAAGGTATATAGAATCGAATCCGAATTCGGATTATCTCCAATTGAAACAAGAGCTATCAATTAGGTTTAGCGAGGTTATTGACCCCTTGCATGCATTGGCGCTCCTAAGAAAGGTTAAGCAAAATCAAAACGAAAATGTTCAGTGTTTCGGTGAAAGACTTCTCCTTTTGGCTACAGAAGCATATACGGGACCATCAACTGTCGAGGTGGAGAGACAACTTATAGGGTTTTTCGTTGATGGACTGAAAGAAAATTATCTAAAGTTAAGAATCATGAGAGAGAACCCGACAACTCTCCAGGAAGCGGTTACATCCGCCATGACTGAGCAGAACTTGAGGAAAAGATTTCAACTAAGAACGGGAAATAATGCCTCAACACATGCCTCCACGTCAAATTCAGAACCCATGGAAGTCGATCACTTCCGCCAAAAAAAGATGTTATAACTGTAAAAAATTAGGCCACGTTAGTAAAAATTGTAGGGCACGACAAGTCAATGCTGTCGACAATAGTAAACCAAGCGTTAAATGTTGGAACTGTGGAGCGTTTGGCCACATAAGTAGAAATTGTAAAAAACCAAATTTTAATAATAGACAGGGAAACTAAAGAACTCTTCTTGTATTACAGCCGACAAGAAGAGTGACAAAAATTCACTAAAACAAAATATACAATCTTTTCAAATAAATTTGGCAGGTAATCCAAGCTCATGTGTCATCAAATTAGAAAAACAAACTTTTAGATCCTTGGTTGACACTGGCGCGGAAGTTTCATTGATGCACAGTCGAGTGTATAAAAATTTAAAATTTAAACCTAAACTAAAGAAAGAGAAAATAGCTTTATTTTCAGTTAACAACAAACAAATTGACATGGACGGCAGTGCTACATTTGATTTTAAATTGGGGGGTAAAAAGGTGTTACATAAATTTTATGTTGTGTCATCTATGAATAGAAATATAATTCTTGGTAGGGACTTCTTAACAGAAAAAAAAATAAGGCTGTATTTCGATTTAAAAAGTTTGAGATACGAGGGTACTTATATTCCCCTCGAGGAGGACATTCACGTAAGTTCATTGCTGAGGTTATCGGCAGAACTGGTAGTGAAGCCTCAAACATATAATATAGGTACGGCGAAAATAAAAGGTGATAATCCGACGTCTAGTACACTCCTTATAGAGAGTTATGATAAGGGGTTTATTGGAGGACAACCAGGGTTAATGGTTGTGAACTCCATTGTACCAGTTAACAATGACAATGAGGTCAATGCACGAGTACCTGTTGCCATTGTTAACGAATCTAATAAGACTATTAGATTGAAAAGAGGGTGTATTGTAGGAATGGCCCAAACAATAGACAATGGACAGATTTGTTCAATAGAGTCGACAAAGACTAGTGGACAAAACGATAACAATGACGATTTGTTTAAAGACTTAGACTGTGACCCCAGACATAAGGACAGACTATCAAAATTCTTGACCGGACAGACAACAAAGACACATGCCGACAAATTACGCTTAGCAAACATTGACCAATGGGACATTCCTACTAACGACTCAAAGGTACGAAGCAGTAAATATGTTGTACCACCCTCTGACACAAGTGATTCAGACCAGTCCGAACACGAAGACGTTTCTGACTCTGATTCATCTGAAGTCGATAAACCATTAGCACGATTGGTTGACAAATATAGGCGTGCTAGAGACAATTCGAGCTCTGAGGAGGATGACATACCTCTCTTTGAGCTTGCCCAAAGATTGAAACAAAAAGAAAGGGAAGAAAGGGAAGATGAAATGAATGAAACAGGCGATGACCACGAAAGCTCATCATCGCACATGTCAGATGCAGATTTAAATTAGCATGCAATAGACATAGTTTAGGATGATGGGAAGGGCCCTCCTTGATTTCTTGAAGAAACTATCCTGAAATGCTCTGACATAATCATTAGATCAACAATGCAGGGTTAATGCATAGATCTTGTTAATGATATATATGTTTACTATACGCGGTTAACGTTAATGTAGACATCGTTGTTCCCTTGAAACATTAGATCCTTATTGCAGGGATAATGCACCGGATCTTTTAAATAATATTTATACCTGTTGTTCGCGGATAACAGATAATGTAGGTTATTTTATGACGCCAATGTCTATTACTTGCTAAATGAGACATGCGGTGGATAAAAATGGACTTAATCATCTGACCGGATATCTTTTCATGTCGAAGATGAAGAAAGTTCTTACAATGCTCATTGGATGCTTTGTAATTCTCCCAATGACTGACAGTATTCTGACGTATAAAAACACTTTGTTCAGACCCGTAAATAGAATTGCTACGAGTCGATCAAGATGGTTGTTGACCTTAGTTCACGACATAAGACCTTATTTGGAGTTCTTGGACAAATTATCAAACGACATTGGACGTACGTTATGGACAGTAGACAGTATAATGGCTAGTTATTATACCCAGGACAATTCCTCTACTGAATATGGACTCACCTTTGAAAAAATGAAACTTGAAATAGTTTCACTGAGGTTTGAAATTGACAGTTTAGTAAAAACGACTCACGAATACAAAGACCTATCAATCAGTAAAAGACATAAACGTGCTTTGCTACCTTTTGTTGGAGACGCACTTTCTTGGCTTTTCGGCACAGTCAGTTCATCTGACTTGAATAAAATTAGGGGTAACATAAATAAATTAGCCTCTAATCAAAAAGCAATTTCTCATGTCGTTTCGGAAAGTTTATCAATATTGAATGTATCACGATTACAAATTTCAAATAATCGCAATCAAATTAACGCACTTTCAGACGGATTACGTAAATTAGATTTAAAACTCGAAAATATAGTTGCTCAATTCAAGAAGCAAATTTTAAAATTAGAAGGTTTTGTACACCTTTTTCTTAGAACAAAATTAGTCCTCGATGATATCAAATTAATGATTTTAGATGCTATTTCATATTCGAAAAATACCAAGATTCTTTTAAGTATGCTTACACTTGGTCATCTCGGTCCATCAGTTATCGTACCAGAAAAATTACGGAAATTACTTTTAGAAATTCAAGATAAATTACCACCTAGTGTAAAATTACCGGCAAATCCCAAAACCAATTTATGGCATTACTATAAGATCCTCACTTGCGTATCATTCATAGAGGATCACAAAATTATTATCATTTTGAATATTCCACTACTTGACAATGATGACCATTATATAATTTACAAAGTACATTCTCTCCCAGTTCCAATGATGACTAATCACGTTTTATCAAAATCTAAGGGCACGTCCCGATTTGTAGCACGATACAAATTAGAAACCACTACGCTTGCTGTTAGTGTTGATAGTACAAAATATGCTTTAATAACAGATGATGAGTCTAAACAATGTACAAATCCTCATATGAACTTCTGTCAAATTAAGAGTCCAATCTTTCCAATCAATTTGAGTGAACTATGTGTCATGGCATTATTTTCTAAGAATGAAGTAAAGACTTCAAGTAGATGCGATATTTCGGTCAAACCTAATGAAATTTTACCAACTACTGTGTATTTCACTAATGGTTATTGGGCTGTAATTGTACGTAAACAAACCCGATTTTCAATTGTCTGTCAAGATACCCACCTCGAGCATTCCTCTATTGTTGTCAAACCACCTATTCAAATTATTCACCTAAAGCCGACATGTAAAGCGGTAAATGACCACGTTACTTTGCCCTCTCATAACACGAATGAGAGTACTTATTTTGATAGCACTTCATTCAAACATTTATTGACAAATTTTAATGAATCTATTACCGATATTTGGAAACCGATTACTGATCCATTTGGCAATTATACGTTAACTAAATTACCACCAAAATTTTTTCCCATCGGAAAATTAGTATCAGAATTAGATGACTTACATCCAATCGAAAACCTTAAGAAACAAACATGGCCATTATGGGCATGGGTTACTCTGTGTGTCGTTAGTGCTGTTGGTGTACTTATACTTTATATAGTTTTCAAACTATATACGAAACCTCTTATGTTAAGATTCAAATCCCCATGGAGACGCTCTGATAGAAAGGGTGAAAGCTCTGATAAGGTCCCTACTGATCAAAGTACAGAAGCAATACCCATGGTAACGATGAAGCAACCAAGCGCCCCAGACGATGAACGATTATATCCTGATATATCTGGAGCTAATACATTGCATTCTCTCCTCAACCTTGCTCAACAACAGAGAGCAATTCAGAAAACGGAGACCAATCTTTAAATTCATCGTATCCATTGATTAAAAACACTCACCCAACAATTGATTCTCACTAATCCAGTTTATAAGTCATATTGCAGCACAATCTTGCAGCAGCTACGTTATTATATTCCTACATGAGATGTAAAACTATCTGAAGGCAGTTAAACCCTGATGACATGGTGGATATATCCAGATAAACGACACAGCATGGTATCCAATATATAGTATATATCCGATCACACATATGGTGGATATCCGATCACAAAGATGATACGATATACAAGACATGGTGGACATAGATCCGACAACGAATGCACAATGGTAAACCAAAATGGTGGACATCAGCCTCCAACGACGGACTGGTAACAAAGAATGCTCATACCAGACAAACACCAAACGACCAAAGCGCAAATCTAGTGAATAAAACCACTTGAGTAACATTTAAAGTGACAGTTCAGAACTGTGTAAGAAGTTGACCTGGTCAACTTTTGTATATAGGACAATTAGCTTTCGAAGAACTCTATTGTGTATTTTCTATTATGTGTTTTATTATTATTACCCTTGTTTCACACTTGAAAAAGGGGCGTGTGTAAGAAAATAGCCATTTTCTTATCATTCGTTTTGTAGTGTGAAACAAAGTTGACACATATTTGTTCTCCACGGACCCTTCACATAACTCTGTTTACACCTGTTAATTGGCCATGGTATTGTATTCGAGTTCAAGTGCTTTGATGTCCGAACATTATTTGATCAGGTGACAGGTGGATGACCGCTGACCTGAAGCTCACCTAAAAACATGTATTGTGTCCCCAAATGACCACTCCTGTCCAGCCTACTTCAAGGGACTGAAAATAGGGTAATCCAAATAGCCATTACAATACCTATTAAAATATATTTAATTATGGTTCTGGGGTCTGTGGGAACAGTAAACAATATTAATATTTCTTATCATATTCTTTTATTCTATTATTATTTTGTATTGTATTTCTTTGTATGGGTTTGGCTATATTAGACGGTGACGAGAAGACTTTAGTCAGTACGTTCGAGGATACCGAGCTGCTCGTAGACGTCTGATATTGCCAACCGCCATACAGCTATATTAGATTGGAATAAACAAGTTTAAGTATCACAAGTACTTTACTTTATCGGAAACAACACAACGTGAAAACCTAGACGAAGTCTTACAAGACGCTAGACGTCATATTCAATCATTATTGGATGCGAACATTATTAAGCCTTCCTAAAGTTTCTATGGAAGCCCAATATTGCTTGTTTGAAAAAAGACGGGTAAACTCAGACTATGCGTTGATTACCGGAAAGTTAACGAAAGAACTTAAAAGGATGCCTATCCTATTCCAAAAATTTGTGACATTGTTTCTGCTCTACATGGGTCGAAATGGTTTACGACAATGGATTTAAAAATGGGCTTTCACCAAATTCCAATGGCAGAAAACTCTAAAGACATCACTGCATTCGTCTGTCCGTTTGGTTTGTTTAATTTCGTACGAATGAGTCAAGGTCTATCTAATAGTCCTCTAACATTTTAACGCTTAATGGAACGTTGTTTTAGTGACATGAATATGGAAGAACTACCAGTTTACCTTGAAGATATCATTTCATGGTTTTTCTATAAAAGATGCTGGAAACCGGTTATACAGAACCCTGGAGAGACTGCGTCCATACAATCTCAAATTAGATCCAAAGAAGTGTTAATTTTTCCAGTCGTCTAGTAAACACATTGGATTCATTGTTTCAGAGGAAGGAATAAAGCCTGACCCTGATAAAATCGGTGCCTTGACAACATGATCAAAGCGTATCACTTTGCGTGATCTTAAAACTTTCCTTGGTTTCATCCGATATTTCAGACATTTTGAGAACAATTATTCAGTAATTGTCAAACCCCTTAATTCTCTCACCGCTGGATATATACCTGTAAAGACTCGCCAAAAGGAAAGATAAACCAACTAAGCCTGTGTTGACCATGAGCTCAAACATCAGTCATTTATGGACCCCTGCTTGTCAGTCAGCTTTTGACAATATAATCAAAAGACTTACATCTGCACCAGTGTTAGGGTTTGCCGATCTTTCAGCTCCATTCTTGCTCCATAACGATGCTAGTAACCTCGGTCTTGGTGCTTGTTTGTATCAGCATCAAGGTGATAAACTCCGCATTATAGCTTACGCGAGTCGTTGACTTTCTAAAAGTGAAGAAAACTATCCAGCTCACAAAAATGGGCCATAACAGACAAATATCATGATTATTTGTTCAGTTCGAAATTTACTGTTGTGACTGACAATAATCCTTTGACATATGTACTGTCATCTGCAAAACTAGATGCGACCGGCTACAGATGGCTTGCCGCCTTATCAATATATAACTTTGATTTAAAATATCGCCGTGGTTCAGACCATATTGATGCAGATGGACTATGAAGACGCCCATAAGAATCACCTAAAAGTGATTGTGAATACGAACAAACTCTTGATAACATTTCTTGGCTCGCTTCAAGGATTAGAAAACAAAGTGACGATAGTATAATATTATCAAATGATGTGGTCAGTGCTATTATGACCAGTTATAAATTTCGCAAAGAACCAATCGTTTCATTCCGAATGAAAAGAGTTATCTCTGGTAATATTAGTGAAGATAATGATACTAGTTGGGTTGTGAAACTAAACTCATCCCAAGATGCTGTGCCAGAAACACTCTCGAATCCCACTCAGTCACTTACTCAACTGACTGTCGTCAGCGAAGTTGAATTGCGTGACCGTCAATCCAAAGATAAGGACATTAGGACAGTAGCTGAAATCATTGGATCTTCAGAAGACAACTTTCATAACGCATCATCAGAGCTTAAAATCTACTTGCGTGAATTCAAAAAGCTTAAATTAGCAAATGGTGTGCTGTATCGTCATATTACAGATGAAAAATGATTGGAGTGGCACAACTTGTCATTCCTTTAAGTCATCGTCAACAGGCTCTCTCAGGAGTTCATGAGGAAGTTGCTCATTCTGGAGTACAAGGGACCTTGCGATTAGCTCGCCAGAGATTTATCTGGCCTTTTATGGCTACATCTGGTAAAAACAAATGTGAACAATGTGAAAGACGCAAAGCTTTAAGTGAAAAATGTGAACTTAATCAATTCAAGCAACCTTTCCTTTACAGTTAGTTTGTATGGACTTTCTTTCAATTGAACCTGATAAAAAAAGAGATCAAGGATGTGTTAGTTATTACTGACCACTTTACAAAGTATGCCTTGGCCATCCCAACAAGAAATCAGACTGCTCGCACTGTTGCCTTGTGGAACAATCTTATATCTCATTATGTTTGGCCAGAACGTTTGCATAGTGATCAGGGACAGGATTTTAATTCCAAGTGATTTCTGAATTGTGTAAAAAAAAAAAAGTCTCGCACCACCCCCTATCACCCACAGAGCAATCCTGTGGAAAGGTACAATCGAAATATATTAGGCATCATGGTCAGAAACTGGATTGGCGTAAATATGTCAAGCCCCTAACACATGCTTACAACTGTACAATCAACGAAACTACTGGATACTCTCCATATTTCTTAATGTTTGGTCGTCATGCTAGACTACCAATTGATATAGACCCGTATCTAACTTACCATTTATATCAAAATATCTGGAAAAAGTGGTAAAGTCTCAACTTTTGGAACATCTTGAACGAAATAATCTTCTGCGTAGATTTCAGTCAGCATATAGGACATCTCATAGTACCGAGACGGCTGTTATTCATGTTCTTGACACTTGTAATCCGTTGATAGTGGTGATGTATCAACTCTTGTGTCCTCGATTTGTCGGCCGCATTCGACACGATGGTTCATAGGATACACATTGGACGTCTAGAATCTGATTATGGAATTAGTGGTGCTGTTCTGAGATGGTGCTACTCATATCTCACTGATAGAACGCAGAGTGTCATCGTTAATAAATCATTTTCTCTTAGTGCGACGTTAACATGTGGCGTACCTTAAGGTTCGGTGCTTGGACCCATGTTGTTTTGTTTATATACTAAGCCGCTCGGCAGTCTGATTGATAGGCTCAACATCAAACACCACTTGTATGCCGACGACTCGCAGCTGATGAACTTTTTTAAACCAGAAACTGATCATGAACTGTCATCTTATAGGAACTTAGAATCCTGCATTGCTAATATCGTTTTATGGATGACCAACAATATGTTAAAACTGATCTCTGGCAAAACAGAGGCAATGCTCATTGCTCCAGCTTGCAAACTTACCAAATGTGCAATTTCTTCTCTAATAATTGATCAGTCAATAATTACTTTCTCCACTACTTTAAAGAATCTTGGTGTATTTTGATTCCAATCTGTCAATGGAAACCCATGTAAATTTTATCTTAACACTTCGAATTTTCATCTCAGAAAGATTGGTGCCATACGCCATCTGATTACTGAAGATGCTGCTTCAACCTTAGTCCGTTGCCTTGTACTATCTAGAACCGACTACTGTAATAGTGTCCTTGCTGGTATTCCCAACAAACAGGTCTACAAACTCCAAAGATAGCTTGCCAGGCAAGGTAATATACGCCCATTGATAGCTTTGTTTGAAATTGAATATTTTGTTAGAAAATAGCAAACATAGACACCAGGAAATATTCAACTTATACCCAAATCCATCACAAACTGTGCCATCACAAGTTAAAATCAAAAACATTTGTAAGAATAACGGCAATAACTTGTATTTTATATTTCAAAAGGTTTAGTTTTGATTGTGATCAATTTCATCAAGTTGTCAAATTTGTTTTAGACTTCTGCTTTGTAGAATAAAAATTACGTGTTTTACAAGATTTTTGATCAGATTTATCCTTGGGTCTGTCATGAATTGTGTATTTGCAGATTATATTAGGTCTATTTATAGTATCTTATGATGCTGTACATGTATGGTGGCTGGTTAGGGACATGTTAAATGATTAAATTAAATTTTCTTATATGTTAACCAAAATAGTTTCTCAGGAAAATAATGACATCTATTGTAAATTGTGATTATGAACAAAAAAATTGTGACTTGTAGAGTCTGTCAAGAATTGTGCCTCCTAGAGTGTTTACGAGCTAAAAATTGAACGCGTTTTCAAGAACAAGGGCAATAATTCATACTAAATATTTTTCGATTTCGCTGATTTTCAATAGGGTTTATCCTTGGTTTTCAAGAACAAGGGCAATAATTCATACTTAATATTTTTCGATTTCGCTGATTTTCAATAGGGTCTATCCTTGGGTGATAATGAACACTCATACCAAGTTCCGTCAAAATCTGTCAAGAATTGTGCCTTCTAGAGTGTTTACGAGCTAAAAATTGAACGCGTTTGCAAGAACAAGGGCAATAATTCATACTAAATATTTTTCGATTTCGCTGATTTTCAATAGGGTTTATCCTTGGGTGATTACAAACACTCATACCAAGTTTCGTCAAAATCTGTCAAGAATTGTGCCTTCTAGAGTGTTTACGAGCTAAAAATTAACACGGGCAATAATTCATGCTAAATATTTTTCGATTTCGCTGATTTTCAATAGGGTTTATCCTTGGGTGATTGCGAACACACATACTAAGTTTCGTTAAAATCCGTCAAGAATTGTGCCCTGTAGAGTGTTTACGAGCAATTGTGGACGGACGGACCGACGGACATGGGTGACGACAATATACGCCCCCCATTTCATGTGGGCGTATAAAAAGTCCAAAATAGAGGTGCTCGTATTGTATCCAGAACAAAGCTACAAACCCAAATATCACCAGTTCTTATATATCTACATTGGCTCAAAGTCAATGAGAGAATCGAATTTAAAGTATTATCTTTAACATATCAATTTCTCCGATTGATAAAGTTACCACTCGTTCTCGGAAAAAGAATCGTAATCGTGAAACCAATGTGAATAATTCTGACAACACAGCAGAGGATAGTGATTATGATAGTAATATCATATGTGGTTGATACACATGTTGATAACATAGTCGATGATGTTTCTAGTGATCAATGTGTAACCAATACTGAGTTATCTCCCTATGCTTCTGAATTTGTGTCCTTTGTGGAATATTCTGTTGATAATATTAAACTTGATAGTGATAGTGAAAATAATCAAAATTCGGAGGATCCAAGTGTTATTTGTGTTAAATCTCCTCAATGTGATAAATCAATATCTCACAGTGAAAATTTAGAAACTGAGAATAATATTAATGTTTCGGATAATATTCCTAGTGATAATCTCACATCAGACGATTTGTTTTCGAATTTGCCTCCTGAATCCCTTCGAAAATCTCAACGGAATAGGAAACCTACTCAGGCGATGTTTTCTTTTCCTCGTCAATCATCTTTCTCCTGGGTGTGTAGCTATCTGCATATAATCATAGGTATATACGCAAATTGAGGTGTCTACTAGTTAAGTAAAAATATGCAAGTTTTACAAAATTCATCAGTATATCATACTATAACTTCATGTCTTATTATTACATTTATTAAAGTCTGTGTCTCAGTTTTACACCATCACCATTCTGGGATTGTACTCCCTGTTATAGTGAAGGCTTATATTTAGTGTACTTTTAATTTTCAATATAATAAATGTTTATAACAGTTTATTACTTTATTTTATAGGTAAGATATTGTTATATCATTATAAGACCAAATCCTATCTCTGATTATATTGCATGTCATTACCTGAAATATGTGCATTTGACTTTTTCATTCGGCTACCACATTTCCTTCATAGACCAAATGTTTTTAGGGGAATCCCCCATGCTCACTGCATCAACATGTGCTTATTTTTCTCATATATTATGTCATTGTCTATTCTTTAGCAGATACCTTGTAAAGCATAATTGTTTAAGTGTAAGATTTGTCTTATTGTCCCATGTTTGTTATGGAAAAGCATATTTAGACTTTTATGTTGCAATTGTTCAGACTGTAGTAAACTAGGTCAGAGCTGTCAGTCATGACCTACTTTCCTGTATCAATGTGCAACAAGTATTTTACTCCAAGGATGTACAATTTTGCATTAATGTTGTTTATATCCTATTATAAATATTGAGCCCACATTAATAGTGCATTAACCTTGATAGAAAATCCATGGTACTGTTTTGTTTATAACATTGTCAGATATTTATAGGATAACTTGTTGTATTTCATCAAATATCTAAAAAATCTTTGTTTATTGTCATATGCTAGTTTGATCTCCATGTCAATAGCCATTCTGGGATTGTACTCCCTGTTATAGTGAAGGCTCAGATTTAGTGTACTTTTAATTTTCAATATAATAAATGTTTATAACATTTAATTACTTTATTTTATAGGCCATTCTGCAAGTTGACCCACCAAGTTAAAATCTTAGCCTCAGCCAGATTAGATCCCACTTATTTTTGTTAACCATCTCCTTCATACACTTGGGCACAAGCTCTGATTAGTTTATTCATCAGGAGAAAGGTTGCAACAGCTCCAAGCCTGGCAACGAGACCTTATCCGATGGATACCGAACCTTTTGAAACTTCTAGTCTGTTAGCTTTCAAATCCGGTGCTGTTAAGCTTACAATTTTTGCACAAGAATTTAAAACTCTCGGGTATCTGATAAAATAAATCAATTATATAATAGAACTAATTTATACGATAACGATAAACCTCTCAATTATTTAATTGACTAAAACAACAGTCATAGATAATCAGACCTTGTCACCCTTGATAGGAATTCAATCATATATGACATTTGTCGACGACTTCTCTCGTCAAATTTTGTCGACATGCTGACTGGTATTTATACAGTATACAGACTGAAGTAAAAAATCTTCCATTAACGTTCATTACATTAGATTCATTAAATTGGTCTCAGAATACAAAAGAGCATATTATGTTAAATTCCTAGATAGGCCTAGATGAGCCACTGTCAGTCTTTAAAATAAAGGGTTTCCAAATTTTGTTTAAAGAACGTGTATTCTCCAATTTACATTGTCTTATTATTAAGCTTTATAAGAGATACTCTCCCGTAGAATCACTTAAATATTTCACAAGTATTATTTTGTAATTTGAGTTCTAATTAAGATTGAAAAAAATTCCAACGGTTTGATATTTTGCCAATTGACAGCTTTAAATGGAGGTGTTTTTTAAATGTGTATGTAAAATATTCTAAAACAATAAACAAATTTGTAATGGTTAAAAGCTCACTGATGTGACACCAAGGTATGAAAGTTCAAACCATTCGATACATCTTGTTACAAAGGCCATAAAAAACGAATTTTATAACAAGGATAAGGCATAAGCAGTACATTTATACTTGAAAGATAACCTATTTAAAGTAACAAAAAAAAACCCTTCACCTTAAAGTTGAAAAGTTCATGTGATAATATTTCAAGGATTCAGAAGTGTATATCTTCAAGTGTGTATATAAGACGTTAATATCGCTTCTATCGCACCGTTCCGATTTCACATCTGACCACAATAGTTCATTGTATTCCAGAAAGTATGATTGGTGTGTGTCATTTTGGAACATAAAAGAAAAAACATAAGTCAAATTTCAAAAATATGAACCATAACCTACAACTCTGCTTTAAGACCATTATATATATTATCCTCTTTAAGTATAAATTTTGGATATCTTGACAAGGTGTATTCGTAGAAGGCAGTGAGCCGTTAAGAGGGGACTATTTGTTGGAAATCGTCTGCGTAAGCTATCTTTGGTACGGATTTATCGAAACGTAAAGTCACACGGAGGTGAATGCCTTTGTAAATTTTTAGATTTACTGGAAACAGAGTGAAAGCACCAGGAAGAAAAATGCTCTCTCTCAAAGCCAATGATATAAAGTTAGAGGATTACGATATTTCTTTCAAAACTGGATTTCTCTTAGAAAATCCTTTGGTGAGTAACCATTGATGTTTATTTATGCACTTCATGATGTTTTTTTTTCTTTCTTAGCGCGTCCAATCGAAATCATACACAGGGGTGGAAGATTAATTTTGTTTCCTAAAACAATTTTGAACAAACTATCTGGGGGTCCTTATAGAATTCTTTAGATTCAGACAGAGTTTTTCAATATTGCAAACTGCAGAACGCAAAAGTAAATTCATGGATACCCTCTCAATCTTGGGTTGTTTTGTTATAGTTTTCTTTTTCAGGAAACGTTACCAGAATACTTTGATATATGGAACCAGTTATCAAATTCCCTTCCCGAGTTAATTGATGCTGGACTGGTGAGAGAAAGGGTATTGCAGGTAATGTAGTAGAAGCCACGTATGTTCTTATTATTCTGTTTTATAGAATTTCATCTTAATCTGTGAGCATTTTGTTACATTGTAGTTTGTAGTAAGTTATATCCCTTAAACCAGATTCTTTTTACGCTGCTGTGGTTCAAACAAGTATACCAAATATATGTTAACACTCCAATGGGGGGGATTATAAACACATTTGTTTCATTTGATTTGTTCCACTATGAATAACCTCGTGGACAATCTTAATCCACCCAATAGTTATCGACCTATTTGTTTTAAAAACAAGTCTTTAGACTTGGACTCATGTGGAGTGTAGATTATTGTCGAGTATTTACTTTTCTCAATATACAATTTCATATATAGCTTGATGGCTTTAACCAATACATACTTTATGTCAATTGGTAAATGAAAAGAACTATTAAAAAGCAACAGTAATTGTTTGAATTTGAATTTGAATTTCATTATACATTAAAATTTCAAGATAACTGTTATGATACATTTCAGATGCCTGAACTAGACGCTAACAGGCTTACATCCCACAGAGAATTAAGATTAGCTCATATACAACTATCCTTTATTGGAGCTGGATATATTTGGCAGGACCGAGGTGCGGTCATACCTGAAGTAAGTTGCACTTGTGGCATGTCGGCTAATGATCTGTTTTACACAGATTCATTAGTATTGAACTTTAGAAAAGAAAACCTTGTTGAAATTGATAGAAAATTATTTTGTTTTGGTTTCTTGTGTAAATAATATCTAATTGTCTCAATTGTAGCTAATACCCAAATGTCTAGCTGTACCATGGTATAATGTTTCTAAAAGGTTGGGAATTTATCCCATTATTTCCTATCCAACACTTTATTTAGCAAATTACAAATTAATTGACCAAAGCAGGTAAGCATAATCTTTTTTCTTAATACGAAATTTGAAACAAAAGTTTGTTTATAATACTTTAAATATCTGGAATGGATGACACTGAACCAATCTTTCTGTTCATTATTTTCCCGTGAGAGTATGTATGAATTATGTTAACCGTTAACAACGAAATATAAATACATCTCTAAAATTAGCAGAAATAAAATTAAGAACGTGAGAATATTTTGATATATATATGTATATGTATATATTAGTTTTCTGGGTATCGCCAATAATGTCACGATATGTGAAACTTGGGTCATAAGACGATTTCTATCGCGTTATGGGACAAGAATTAACATTTTTATACGCCCACATGAAATGGGGGGCGTATATTTCCGTCACCCATGTCCGTCCATCCGTCCGTCCGTTCGTCGGTCGTCGGTCGGTCCGTCCGTCCACAATTGTTCGTAAACACTCTACAAGACACAATTCTTGACGGATTTTGATAAAACTTGGTATGAGTGTTCGTAATCACCCAAGGATGAACCCTATTGAAAATCAGAAGAATCGAAAATATTTAGTATGAGTTATTGCCCTTGTTCTTGAAAACACGTTCAATTTTTAGCTTGTAAACACTCTAGAAGGGACAATTCTTGACGAATTTTGACGATGACTTGGGATGAGTGTTTGTTATCACCCAAGGATGAATCCTATGGAAAATCAGAAAAATCGAAAAATAATTAGTATGAGTTTTTGCCCTTGCTATCGAAAACGTTTTCAATTTTTAGCTCTAGAAGGCACAATTGTTGACGGATTTTGATGAAACTTGGTGTGAATGTTCGTAATCACCCAACGATGAACCCTATTGAAAATCAGAAGAATTGAAAAATATTTAGTACGAGGTATTGCCCTTGTTCTTTAAAACGCTTTCAAATTTAGCTCTTAAACACTAAAACGCATGATTCTTGTTTGATTTTGACAAAACTTGGTTTTATTATTCATCCCCGCGCTGAAGATTTAATATTTGCCTTCTAGAGTTTTCACGAGCTAAAAATTGAACACGTTTTCATGAACAAGGACAATAACTCATACTCAATATTATTCAGTATCGCCCTAAAGAGTTCAAAAGAAGTGTATGACTGAAGGTTGAATATTTCATACTGGTGATTGTTACTGTACTGCTAAATATTTTAATTCAAAATCAAAGCTGCCAATGGGCGTATATTACCTTGCCTGGCAAGCTATCTTAACCTTAAAGTTTCAATATATGTTAGTTTATAACTTTATAACTGTGATATTTGGTAATGTAGTTAATATGAGGGGTTAATGTCAAGTTATTAAAATTCGATACAGGTATCGTGGTATGTCGTATGACGATAATTCGATTCACCGATATGTCGTGCCAGCACTATTTTCATCCTGACAATGATAAACTATTATGTAACCATGAGTACAATATTATATTTTTTTTTATTCCAGACCTCTCAGTTTAGAGTAAGTTTTCTTTTTCTGTAACAGGAGGGGAGGGATTGCGTAAATGTCATTTGACAGTTTTTCAACTGACATGTTAGAGTACTGATTTTTATTTGAGTCTGCCTCGGAACCCAAGTATTTTGGCTGACTGTGTCGTTTGTAAAAGTCGTTCTGGGTGCGAAAGCGAATTTCCTGAAATTGCTTTAAACTTTAAACAGAGCTTGAGTGATTGTCATTAATATTGAGGCATTTGTGGAGATGGAAACAGTTGGTTCTATTATGTTTAGTTCTCCTCGCACTATTTCGCAATGATTAGGAAATTGTATGAATGCCAAATAAACCGTTTAAACTCGTTTGCACACACTTTGTATGACTGTGTATTATGAATGTTTCCCAAATGATATCATCATACCCAGGATAGCTGCTGTTGCCTCCTTTGAGGTTGCAGCTATTCTTCAATGTTGAAAACTTCTGGTTAGTAGTCAGTAGTGATAATGGCAACATCCAAAAGGTGCAGTATTGGTTGTGTATTTCAGTTTTGTTTTCTTTTAAGTAGGGGATAAACATTATTTGTTAATTAATGTGTTTTTTTTCTGAATAGCAACATAACGACTATTGGTAAATTACCCGGAGGGGAACACTATGAGTGGTTTGTACGTGTTAACAATGGAATAGAAATAGCTTTTATCAAATGCCTAAAGGTGCGTGTGTAACGGAATCTTTGTGTTTGTTCAACAGCAGCGTTCATTGAAAAGGACAACCACATTAATAATTCCTATCCATGTACAAGTATCTCGGTTTGTTCACTGTCATCCACAGGAAAACATTACTAAGCGGAATAAAATATCTAATTTGAACGATACGATATTTTGCCCCAGAAAATGGCAACGATTCAATCTCAGGCCAGTAGCCATTATCAAGGTATCTGGAGAGGAATTAAAATCGTCAATAGGAATCAACTATTTGACTTAACTTGTCAATCAAGCTACCGGATAAGACAATGTCAATTTTGTATGCAAAAGAAATATATCAGATCTCAATCTAACTAATTACGTCGGTATCGGTAGTAGAATGTTTTATCGATAGGTCATGATTATGTTTACACAGCTTTTTTTTTTATTTCAGCCAATATTAGACATATTGCATAATGTTGAAAACAGAGAGATTGGTTTAATTGTGGAAAACCTTCAGATTATATCTGATTGTATGCTAGAATTAAAATCACTTTTATCTAGAATACATGGTGTGTATTATATTATGTGTTTTTAATCTCTTTGTGTCAATCACTATTTCTGCTTAATTTTTTTTTATGTATATTGAAGATATCTTGGACTCTTGGAAGGTGAAGATATTTCTAATAATGATTTTGAGTTGTGAGTAACGAGATTGTACAATTATTGAACATTGTTCAAGTATTTTTTTTTTTAAATGACTTTGAGAATCAATTTTTTGAATGGTTTATTAGCATCATTACAATTACCGAATTGCGACTTAATATGATTATTAATGTTCGATGAAATTATTGTCATGCTATGTACCAGGTAAATGTTATGTTATACCAGATAAGGGTTATGTTATACCAGATAAATGTTATCTACTTTTTTACAGAACAGTTAAGTGCAGTTGAGTTTTATAATGTGCTCCGACCATTTTTAACTGGGTTTGTATGATTTACTCTAATCAAGAACAAAATTACATGAAATAGAAAATGTACGAAAATCTAGGTCACATTACATATACAAATAAATAAATCAAGTACTAACGATCCGATCCGCAAATCGAAATGAAATGAAATGAATAGAGTTTTACGTCCTACTCTTCTGCACCATGTGCGCTAATGAAGACGGGCAAAGCCATGCAGGGTGCAATGAGGAAAATTTTGCCAGGACAGCGGCATTAAAATCGAAAAAACATATTGACGAAACATTGGTAGCAGCAGCAGCTAAAGAACTTTTCACATGAAGAAGTATATCAATCATTGCATACCCTGCCTGGCGCCACATCCGTATTTTCTGCTCAACATTCACAACAAACACGACAAAAACAAAAATAAAAAGTGACCTGACTGACCACTCTCCCTAGTTCAATTGAGGTAACTAATGAAAATATTTGATTGCATTTAACAGTTCCATGGAAGGAACTGATCACATAAGTTATATTTATTATGATAAGAAAAAGTGTTTGAAGCACCTGTAATAATAAACATCTGGTGGCAACTCGATACACTATATACATATTGTGTACATGTACACATTCAAATGATGCCAATGATTTATTTAAGATGGGGAGGAGAATCCAGTCCTATGCCTGACGGGCTAATATATGAAGGCATTGAAAATAATAAACCGTTGAAGGTTAGTAAGAGACCAAAATATTTAGTTGTTTGTACTCGCTGACGTTGATAAAATATAAGCCCATGAGCTGACGTCGCACGCCGACATTGAGCGTATGCTAGCGTATTACGTATTTACAAACCCACCTTAATACGAAATTATAATCTTGCCAATTTTTTAAAACTCTCTCTATCACATGGCACACTCCTTCAGCTAGTTCACGAAGACTTTATGTAACACCAAAGTATGGGCCATTCAGCGAAGGGCGTGTCATTGTGCGATCAGATATTGTGCAGATGTCAGGGTGACATAAGTCAATATCAATGATGTGAGTCCATGACATCAATATCGGTCATCAATGGCTATGATTGAGACATTTAAGTAGTAACATTATGAATAACTATTTCTAGGTTATGGGAGGAAGTGGAGCCCAGAGTGCAATATTTCAGATACTGGATGCTGTTCTTGGAATTAAACATAGTGCAGGTAGTCATAATCTAAGCACTAATGTTGATGGCATGGTAGTAGCTGGATCCGTGATATTTAAAATCCTTGTCAGTCAAGAAAGTGTTGCATTGAATTATAATTTTTTTAGTGATATAACCTATATCCATGACTTTCATACAATTTTGAATTTGCAGTTTCCAAAATAATTAGTTTTTGGTCATGTCTATCCCTTACAATTCTGATATGTTCACTGTAAAGCTTTTCCAGAAGTCTGGTGGCCAAATACCAGATTTTGATGGAAGTATGTTTTGGAGTACACACGTGTATTTTATTGGATTTTATACGCCCACATGAAATGTCGAGCGTATATTGCCATCACCCATGTCCGTTGGTCCGTCCATAATTGCTCGTAAACACTCTACGAGACACAATTCTTGACGGATTTTGACGAAACTTCGTGTGAGTCTGTATTTGGCCAAAATCTGAAAGATTGGTTCATTTTGCCTTAAGAAAAGCAATGCTTTTGTGATCGATTACGATTGGCCCAACCCTAGTATCACCCAAAAGAAAAATATTTAATATGAGTCATTGCCCTTGTACTTGAAAACGCGTTCAATTTTTACTTCGTTAAATCTCTGGAAGGCACAATTCTTGACAGATTTTGACGAAACTTGATGAGTGTTTGTTATCACCCAAGGATGAAACATATTGAAAATCAGAAGAATCGAAAAATATTAATATGAGTTATTACCCTCGTTCTTGGAAACTCGTTCAATTTTTGGCTTTAAGCCATCGATGAATCCTATCGAAAATCACAAACATTAAAAAATGTTTAAATGGAGTTATTGACATCGTTCTTTAAAACGCTTTTAAATTTTAGCTCTTAAACACTAAAACTAAAAGGTACGATTCTTGCCAAAATTTTACAAAACTTAGTTTTATTATTCAGTATAGTCAGAAAAAGTTCAAAAGAAGTATATGACAGAAGGTTGAATATTTCATACTGGTGATTGTTACTGTACTGCCAAATATTTTTATTCAAAATTCAAGCTGCCAGTGGGCGTATATTATATATTTCTGCTCCAGATAGAAATTTTGTATCGACTAAGATCAAAATAATGCCATCCTCAATATTCCAAATACTATTTCTGTCGTAAATTGCTTCTAGGGCATCAAAAGACATAATTTTGGTGTCAAAATATGCCGTTTCAAGGGTCAAGAAATTCATTTATGATGGTTTTTATTGCCTGTGGGCAGGTTATTATCGCGAAAATTAAATAAAACATGCAATACTCACTAAGAATCGTCAGAAATCCCGTATAATTGTACACATTGTAATTTTTATCCAATTAAATGTTGGACAAATTCTGGTTTTGGTAACTTTGGTCATTATTGGTCTAAAAAGAAATATTAGTACAGACCAACAACGTCCGCTACTAATAGACCAACATCTCTTGCCACCAGTTCAACACCATCTTCAAATTCCAGTCTTACTACATATTCTTCTACTAGTCCAACAACCTCGCCTTCTACCAGTTCTACAACTTCCCTTACCACCAGTCCTAAACATCTCCATTTACAAGTCCAACAACATCCCCTACTACCAGTCGTACTCAAGTTAGACAGTCCTCTACCAGTCCTACAACATCTACCACGAATATCATCACCTCCCCATACAAATCCAGCGACATTTCCTAGTACCAGTCCAATAATCTATTATTAATCAAGTAAGACCCCCTACTACTAGTCCTGGTAGGCAAAAAGTCAAAATTGATTTTCTGCATAAATTGAGAGAGGTTTTCATCTACAGCAAGTATCTAAACCAAGTAGGCAAACAATTCTTAGTACACTTTCTTGTGGTTGATAGGTAAAGTTAACCATGGAAAACCACGTTGGAGTTAGACAGATGTTTATGCTCAAGTGCTCTCACATCTACAGAAATCTATAGTTTTGAATAAAGCATGTATAACTTAGAATTGGCAGAATATTCTGTGTGTGAGAGAAGCGCTGTTTAGGGAAGTCCTGTATGCTAGTGAAACTTATAAAAGCATTGCATAGTCACTTTTGACAAAAACTTCATTAAAATTTGCTTCACAATTGTACTTACTAATAGTTTAAGAGAAGCAAACAACCAAATAAAACAAATGTTATGAGCACTTTGATAGAATCCAATGTTAAAATATAGTGTACACCACCCAAGACCAAGGAATACTTTAGTTTTGATTGGTTTAAAACTAGTTTTAACCTCTTAAAACCTTGTTTAAATCGGTTTGTGGTCGAAAGTCCAACCCTGATCACTAACATTTCTTTTGGACACCAATAATAACAAACACTAGAATTTGTGAAAACGTTTTTTGGATAAATGTTATGCATTACACTGTAAGTTACTTCTGACGATTCTTACTGAGTATTGAATATTTTATTTTAATTTAATTTTCACGATATTAACCTGTCCATAGGGATTAAAAACCATCATAAATGAATTCCCTGACACTGAAAACATATATTATATCAAAATGTCTATTGGTGCTCAAAAAGCAAAAACAAAATTGTATTCGTAATATCGAGGATGGCGGCCATCTTGAATTTGGTTCATAAAGAATTTCCTCAACAAGGGTGCCACGTACTCCGAAACATACTTTGGTGCTCTGCCACTGGACTACAGGGACTTATGGGTTTTTTGAAAGATGAGAGTTCCAAAAAATAAAATAGAAAGTTTAGTGGTCTTTTGACCATATTTTATTAATCAACGAAAAAGACAAAAAAAAAAGAGTTGATTCCTTCAATATAATTCTGTATACAATGTTTATTTGCAGATAAGCAAAAGTATTTGCTGGAGATAAGAAAGTATATTTTACCAAAACATCGCCAGTTTATATTTGACATAGAATCGCTACCTTATCAAGTCAAAACCTTAGGTAATATGACAAACTCTATATATTCATTCACCTTTACTATATACAGGTTATGGAACACTTCCGGTATACCACATAACGTTACCCACCCCTTATCTCAAAGAGGATTCGGTCCAAACGAGACCAGATATGATAATGGGCGAACTTCTAATTTCCTATAAAATGGATTTAAACATATACATCCTCTGCCAGTCATAGACTGTGATTGTTTTTTTTTTATTTACTCCACAGTATGTGATTGTGGCGACGAAGAATTAAAGAAGGAATACAATAAGTGCGTTGAATCAATTAAATTATGGAGAAGTTATCATATACAGATCATTACCAAGTAAGTTGTCTATATTTAACATCAGTTTAACTTGCTTAAATCTACACATTATTTGGCCGCTGATGTTGTCTTGTCGCCCTTTTCCGACAGGACTTTTCCCACAATTTGGTCAACACCGTAGACGTAACACTTTTACTCTATGCATTTGCTTTTTGTGCAAACTTTGCGATCAGCAGTTTTTTTCTGGTGCCCATGACATAGTCCGATTCTGACTTCAATAAGATCCGATGTGGAAAATTTTGATAAAATTATGTATTAATGAGATCCCTTATACAATAAGTGAGTTATTGTCCTTTGTAATTTGAATGTTAAGAGTAACATAACATAGATGTGAAATGTATCGGTATTAATGAGATTCATTATGAATGATGAATGTTTTTATCAAAAAACAAAATTAGCATGTATAGAAACTACATTGTTGATAGGATTTCTATTATGAACCATTGATGCTTATGTATTTTAGAGGTCTTGGATTTCTCTTCATGTTTAAACTAAGAAGACTTTATTTATTTGGAGAAAACCATTCAAAATAAAATACAGATTTGATAGTTCTTTTCTATGCAAAATAATCAAACCTTATATTGTTTTATATTTAATTGTACATTTTCTAGATACATAGTTATTCCCTCTAAGAAAGTTACTAATAAAAATACAAGTTTGTCAAGTATGGGGACAGGTGGAACCAGTAAGTTTATTTTATTTATTTGATATACAAATGGTATTTTTACCGTGGGAAATCTCACACTATAGTCCAGGAAAATTTGAACAAATAACAGCAAAAAAGGGAAAAAGATGTTATAAAGCTGAAATTTTTAAAATGGTTTAGGATAGTCATCACAAACAACATATTAAAAGCCCAAGAAATTCCACCTGGAGCTGAACGAGAAAATCAGCTTTGTTCAAAAAACAAATGAGAATTTTTTCTTGTCTAAATTGAAGTTACTCAAAATATAGGCATGAAACATATCTACTTAAAGCTAGCGATGAGACAACCATATTCAAATTAAAGGTCAAAGGTCATAACATGGTTAAGTCAAGTCAGTTCAGTGGTTGTTACAAATATGTGATATAATGGCGGTACATGGTATGTGTAAAGAATCCTTACAGCTTACAGCAAGCACAAGAATAAGTTCTGCAATTCTTAGCTTCATTTCTTGTGCTATATGCAGAACAGATATTACTAATCTAACTTATGTTCAATAAAAATACAGTCAAGTAACCTAATTTCGTGCTAACCTATTTTTCGTGTATTTCCGGAAAGGATTAATAATTTACATGTGCGACCTCGCGTGACCTCCGCATTTGCTTGTTTCGATAAACATGTGTTATCTCTACAATATCAGCTAGTAGAATGAATCCAGTAGTTTCAAGCAAGGTAAAATGTATTAATGCATACTTTGATAAATACAAAATGGCGGATTTCAGATATTACCAAACGTCACCATATTTTATCGGCCGAATTTCCAAGCGGTAATCGGAATTCCAAGTGTCGTCTGCTAGAATGTAGTCCAACGAATAAAGTCACGTGATCAACTAGCGGATTCAGTGTCAGCAGAAAATTACTATGGAACACAAAGTGGGCCATATTCTTATGTTGTTTCAGTGACTTTTAGCAATAAATCACGCTACGTATCTTATTTTGTCAGTCACTATTTTTTTTCAAAATCGTGGTCCTTTGAAGGAATTTTCACTAGTTATACAGAATTGATATTAAAGATAAATACTAAGAGAAGTTAATTATACCACCGGGTATCCATACAACGTGTTTTTCTCGACTTATTTATAGATCAAACGTTGTACACGAAAATAGGTGACGCATTCTGCCGCCGTTGCCGAGTTGGTTGCTTTGAAATATGGGTCAAAGTGAAGGATCGGAACAAACCAATTTTAATTATTTTGTAGAATATCTGAGGAAACATCTAAGACATGAAAAAAAAATTTAACTTTGACGAAATTAGGTGTTGAATCCTTATATGCACGAAAATAGGTTACACCACTGTACTAAAAATATTTACACCCATCGTTTCAATGTAGGCCTATCTACTTCCGGTTGGCTGGTTTCAGGGCAGAATGTTATCTATTTTGTAAAGAAAATTATGCTGTAAAATTACCGTGTTGCTATTTTCATTACTTATATATTTTTAAAGAATGGAATTCACCAATATAACTACTTTTTTCTGAATAATTGAATAAATAGTCATTAATCATGCTTTTACTTTCACTTTGGTTTTTACTCGACAGGTAACTATAGCTGACCAATCGTATTGACCGATATATATTTACTGCCAAATCAACCGGAAGTAGATACATTGAAACGATGGGTGTAAATATTTTTTAGTATTTTTACCCACACACAAACATACACTGCATGTTATGTAATATACTGTATATAGCCATGGCATCAGGTTCAAGTCTACCGTAAAAGAGAAAATTGCTAAGATTGCTGTAGAATCAAATGTCGTTATAAAGGATATTATCTGGTTATCGTGTTGAATGTTGAGTCCATTTGGCCTCACAGTCTGTAGTTGATCGATCCAGTAACTTTCGCGTTGTAGACGTCAAAGCTAAGGGTTTGATGCTAGGTGATGTAGAAACTATAAGATTTGAACGACATATAGAAGCGAGGAGGACAATATTATGGAATATATAACACATATAAGGTTGGACACATAACGTTTCAACACAATATACACGTGTCGTCATCAGATGCATTATGAAAATCTTTAAAATGATATTTTAGCCACTTAAGATTGTATCATCATTTCTGCCAGCTGCCAATGGGCAGATGTTACCTTGCCAGACAAGCTGTTTTTATTTCTAACAAATAAATTTCATTTTTAAAAATGTGCATATATGCATGCTACTTACTGACACTACATAACAAATAGTCCAGGTTTCGTAGAGTGAAATTAGTAAAATGCTTTAAAAGCTATTGCTTCACGACCAAAAATATGTACTACGAGTCATTATCACGTGGTGTGGATTTTTAATATCCTGATTCAGGTTTATTGTTTTTTTGATTTGGTTTTAGCTTTAAATTTAAAACATCAACATCGGCCACTTCATCAGTTCATTTGCTATCTCTTTCGATGTTTAATCTCGAAATTCAACCTTCTATAAGTTATAACTTTTTATACGCCCACATCTCTCTATATGGACGTATATTGTCGGCACCCTGTCCGTCCGTCGGTCCGTGCGTTTTGCTTGTAAACGAGTTTTTGATGGAATCAAATGAAATTCGGTATGTGTATACATATTCATAAAACGAAGATCAAGTTCGAATTTGAGCTATTTTCGACCGTTAGAAGCAGAGTTATTGCCCTTGCCCCAAAATCTTGAATATGCTATTACTCTCTTAGTTTTCAATCGATTTTGATGAAACTTAAAATGGATGTTATTGGACCTAAATCGAAAGGTTTGAGAAAGTTTAGTTTACTTCTGATTAATTTGAAGGCTATTTCAAGATTTAAATATATTAACTCGACTTATGCCGGTATTGAACCCTTCAGGCTAGCGAGCAAGCAATGAGCCACCCAGAGGGAGGGAGAATGAGGATTTCTATAAATAGCACTACATTCGTATACATTAATTTGAATGTGCGTCTTAAATATGATAAACATGTACAAATTTTTATGTCTAATGTCTAAATACTAGGGGAATATTCATTTTTTTATTTTCTTGTCTTTTCAGGTCCAATGCCATTCTTGAAAGATTTGAGACAAGATACAACAGACGCTATATTATCATAAGGATCGTAGACAATGTTTTTTTAACAGTATTTATTCATAAATTGAAAATAATACATACCTGGTACATATATTTAAGATACCAGCCGAAGCTTATATTAATCCATTACCATTTTAAACAAGTTACAATGCACTCGTGAAATAGAATTGTGTGGTTGACAATGGTGATATAGGGTATATCCACTGTTGTTTGTCTTATATTGTAATATTTTCATTTTGTATTATATTGAAAAATGAATAACAAATTATATTTAAAAAGGCAGTTTATTCATATATAAAACATAATAAATATCACTAAATTCTGGCATAAAATAAAAACTTAACATCACAATATATAAGCACATAGCTCATAAGCACAATATAACATCACAATGTAAATGTAAATCGCGTAAGTTCATATTTTTAAAAAATTACATTTAGTAGCAATATTAGCACATTACATTACACATAGTTCACATCACCCTCTGTTTTGACACACACCAACAGTGGAAGTAAGACACGTATGTCATGCACGTTTACACCGACAACGATTAATTACACAACTGCCTTTGCAGGAACATACAGTTTGTGTTTTCCAATTGTTATACAACCCGGATGCTTGAATGAGTGTCACTGGCTTTAATGCACTTGGATCTGCTTTATCAAGGTCTGGGAGACTGCTGCTGCTAATTTCTGTGAGCTTCTCACCTCTGAAAGTGTCTTTTAGAATGCCAAAACTACAGTAAAGTTCATAACAAGTTGTGATGCCACTCTTCTTGGTATTCCGAACTTTGCAAGGTAAAACTTTGTCTGTGTCATACGATCTGCTTCATGAATGGGCACTCCAACATCACCAACTTCATACTGCTTACTCTTAGATACTGCTTCATTGTAACGGGATTGCTGCTTGCTGGCGGACTTCAAATATTTCTCAGTAACGATTTTTCTGACCTTGCTGTATGGAGTACTTGGCTGTGAGATGTGGTTGGCTTCTTCTAAAGACCACAGCGTGAACTGACCTTCTTGTAGTGGTTCTTCAAATGGGTTGCCTCTCTCAGGAATATGCTGCTTATCATGGACACTGGTGATCTGGAACACCCCTTCATGAACAGTAACTTCTACACCATGCACTGTTTCTTGGTTATTATGGCTTTTATAAAGTAATATTCCGCAAAGTCCCAGTTTGTTATCGAAATGTAAATTTTTTTTTCGATTTTTACACACCTTCCTGAGCTTAGTTTACAGTAGTTGCAGCAACCATTCAACATTCACGAACCTTAGATATAGGCGACAAACATAAATTTTGGAACTTTTTTGCAAATAATCGGCTCTAGAAGTCGTATTTTTGGGTCGGTTTCCTTTGGGTTTGCATTTTTGGAATGTACTGACAAAATCATACAGAATAGCACTTTAAAAATTTCAAAATTCGAAAATTTGTCGCAGACATTTTTTTTCCAAAATTTTGCATTTGATTCAACTTTTTTATTTTTTGTTGGATTAATTTGAAGTTTTTTAACCAAAGATAGATTGCTAAAGTTAATAAAACGGTACGGTCAAATTTTTTGAATCATTTCCGGTTTAAACGGGAAATCGACTTTAACTTCCGGTTGAATAACTTCCGGTGTTACATTAAATGTCAACAAAAATGAAATCATGGGTAGCCATCGTTATTCTACAGCCGATTTTAGAATAAAATTCATTCCGGAAGTGATACTTTGGCCGCCATTTTGATTTTCCTGAAATGCGTGCAAATCTATTCCGAGATAAAGGCTTATCCGATTTAGATGATTTGGTATCAAATGAATGAACACAAAAAATAAATAATCTCGTTTTTTAAAGGTATATTGCAATTCGTGATTTTTTTCAAATTTGAGTGTTTTTTTACAATATTTCTGTCTCTTTGAGCTTGGTGTATATGTATATCTTATAACATATTTGATGCAGAACCTTGAAATTTGGAACACAACTAAACAATTTGAATATGAATTCACCTATGACACCTATGGGCGTGGCACATCCGGGTTGAATTAGTAATTGTTTACATTTTGGGGAACGGGCATAACTCGCATAGAATACATTTGTTCGGAAAGGAACTTTGCACACAATAACCTCATCCTTTTGGCCAGTTTGTGTTAACAGATCAGTTGTTTCAGCTTTATAGTTCCAAAACAGGAACGGGTTTTAAAATTTCCATATTTTCAATTTTCGATTTTGACTTTATTGACTTCTCTTGATCTATATCTTTTGACCTGTATGATGTACCTTGGCTATGATACTTTCATTTGTGAGGTCTGTCTACCTCCCTCAACTTTAGACTGTTCTTGCACGTGACGCAATTATCGTCGAAGGTTGATTTTTTCAGGGCCTTTTGCAATTTGCTACATTTGCAAAGCCGACTCTGCACTTGTGTGTTGTTTTGAAATGCTAACTTGTGTTGATTTATAACACAAGGGTGTGTTAATATACTTGTTGCACATGTAACCGGGTACAGGTTAGGGGGTACTTAATTTTCTGTATACTGCTGTGGTCTGAAGCATATGGTTAAGTACAGGGAGGTAATAATCTTCTGCTTTGGAGATTCATTCCGTATTTTATGCTGTGTAAAAAAGGATCTTGTATTGAAATTAACTGTGTTATTTCTCTCTTCCACAGGTAAAGTTTAACTTTTATTTATATTAATTATGTATCAAAATGTGCATTAGTCATCCATGTTTATGTTTATAATAAGAATAAGTGTTGGCAGTGTTAATTATTTGAGAACTTAGTCAGTGTATTGTCTTGATGGAATTGAACATGTTTGTAATACGTTTAGGTTATTTCCCTCATTAATATGTATAAGCCATTTTGGCGGCAAATCCTCTTGCTTTTCATGAATATTAATGAGCCCAAGTCCAAATATGGTCACGTATTATGTCATTCACACTGGTGTCTGTAATTTGCCAATTTGCCAACTTCCATATTCAATAATCTTGTTATGTAAACATTGTCAAATGGATTCCGTATTTTATGCTGTGTAAAAAAAGGATCTTGTATTGAAATTAACTGTGTTATTTCTCTCTTCCACAGGTACCACCTGAGCCCAACCAAACCTTCTTATCCCATAAAATAAATTTGTTTGTTGACAATACCGGGGTCAACAATTGGGGGCTTGTCCGGGATACAGAAGTTGAGATTGGTAACTACTCAAGGGCACAACCATGGATGAAGAAATATTCCACCTTCAAGGATTGATATTTCAACTTGATCAGTGATCACTGAATTAAAACTTGCAGAAGATGAAGACCTTAGTAAATTGACTTCTCGTCTATCAGCTGTCAAAGTTATTATTAGTGTCATCGAAGATGCTGGTGATGATCAGGCAGAAATGGTGCGACGCGTGAAGTCGGTATTGACTAAGTTGGATGAAACTGATCAAAGTGAGGTTAAGTCAACGGAAGAAGACAAGAGAACAGCGGCATCTATATCTACACCTGTGTCAACAAAATCAGATAGTAGCTTTCAAGTAACTTATACTGATAGTGATGTTTCACCTAAAAATTCTTCAGTAGGCCTAATTAAATCTTCTGAACTTTGGAAAAAGGAATTTAAAATACAAGGACAAATTCAGGACAAAAAAGGTATTTCCTTTATGAGTGTTGTTCGCCAAATCCAATCGGGTGTGAATAAGGGATACAGCGAGCGAGAAATAGTTGATGGTGTTCTAAGGGCTATTCCTGCTGGCTGTACCCTTCGTAATTACCTTGAAGGAAGAGACAAGTTGACATTAAGTGAGTTAAGAGGAATACTGCGTTCACATTATTCAGAAAAGTCAGCTACAGAACTTTTCCAAATTCTGAGTTCAGCCTCTCAGAAGGAGAGTGAAGATCCGGTGGAATCTTTGTTACGTTGCTTAGACTTGAGACAAAAGATTATATTTGCATCTAATGAAACAGGTGCAATAGCCTATGATAGAAAATTGGTTAATTCTATGTTACAGCGTTCCGTCTTGACAGGATTTACCTCAGAACAAATTCCTGCAGATATGAAAACTTTATTAGAAGGTGACACTCCAGATCAGCTTCTGATTCAAGAACTCAAGACATGTGTTTCTCAAAAACATAATGAACGGAAGTTAAAAATGCAAAAAGAAAAGTCTACAAAAGTTAATGCAACTCAAATATCAGAAGTTGAAACTTTACGAAAAGAGGTTGCAGCATTAACTGAACTTATAAAGAAACAACCTCCACCACAGGACAGAAAGATTATTAAAAATCATCGGAAATGTTGGGAGTGTGGTAGTTACGATCATTTACGTTCGTTCCATCATACCAAGGCCACTCCGGGAAACGACACAGAGTCACCGACTGGGGAATCAGTGACTCGAATATCCAGTCCCCAAAACGTGAAGGCTGCTATCAAAGAAACCATAGACAAACTTTCTAAAAATTCTGTGAATCATCATGTATTTAAAGGTGATGTGTTCAGTGTGTCACCCAGAAATAAACTGAAACTCATTAATTTGATAGGTGATAAATGCAACGATTCTAAAATTTCAACTTTCTCCATTTTATTTTCACCAAGATCTGTCTTTACATTTTGATCTTCAGTTAGCAAACTTTTAATCTGGTTTAAACATTCATTTATTCGATTTCGTCTTTTCTTTTCAGCTAACAATTTTCTTCCCTTTCTAAAACTACTGAAAGATTTAGAATCCATGTTAAATATAAATCAGGTAGATATATTCACGTGAAGTTTTTTAGTTTCTAATGATGAAATTGTGAGGTTTAATTATTTTATATCATTCCTTAGTACAAGTGTCACAAACAATATCACGTGACAGTAATGAAGCATGCCTATACGATTGACCAATCAGTGAGGTGTATTGTGTATCGGCACGCGACTAGATTAGTCTCAAGACAGATGTTTAGATTATTTTAATTGTCTGGCACAAAATGCGTTATTTAGTTTTTGTATGACACTCGGCGTTGTTGCTGATATGACAGAACAAGGTAGATGTTCTAACAGGATACATTATTAACTTCATG